CACGCACGCACACACACACACACACACACACACACACACACACACGCACACATGTCTGCACTTTGCTGTGGATTGGTGAGGTATGTTTGTTTTTTCACAGGAGATCTCACATGTTGATATAACGTTCCGACTCCCTCATGCCTGTCGGCTCTGGGAAGATTTTGCGGCAGTTGGGGGGGTGGGGGTCGTGACCTGCAACAGGCAAGATGCGGCGCTGCCACCCAGATGCAGGAACGACAGTTACCACAAGGAGGCCTGGTGCCACCGGAGAACATCGACATAACTCACCCATTTTACTCATCTCAAGGAGGTCAGCTAGACCCCCCCCCCCAGCCCCCCAGGGAACAACAGTAGAAGCATTTTTTAAACTTTACTTTGGCACACAGCATGAGGAATGACTTCTCACCCCTCGGTGCTGACAGTGGGGGGGCGCTCTTTTGTTCACTTAAAGTTACAACCGGAAGCACCTATTGAAGCAAGGACAGGTTTCCTCGACGTCCAGCACTGCATAAATCCACATTATGATATCTAACATTGTCCATCCATCCATACCACTTAATCCATCTGGGTCAAAGCTGGAGCCAATCCCAGCATCTTCGGGCGAGAGGTGGGGTCCACTCTGGGCAGGCCGCCAGTCCACCACAGACAAACAGCCACACACACTGACAGGCAATTGAGAGTAGCCAGTTGATCTAATCTGCATATCTTTGGACTGTGGGAGGAAACTGGAGCAAACCCACGCATGCACGGGGACAACATGCAAACTCCACACAGAAAGGCACCCTGGGTGACCCAGGGATCGAACCCAGGACCTTCTTGCTGTGAGGCGACAGTGCTAACCACTGCCACCCTCTAACATTGCCCTTTTGTATTATAAAAGGGGACATGATGGAGTGATGCACAGCCTGCAAACACAAACACTCCACAGGCCAAGTTAAAAAGCAGCCTTGATCGTGGTGACCCCCGAAACCCAGCTGAATGTTTTTGTGTTCTGCTCCTCCCCCATATGCCCAAATACGGTAAAGCAAGTTGACCTGCGATCAAACAGCTACTCATCCTCGGGTGGACAGGGGTACCAGAGCATGAGAAAGCATGTTCATCGGTGAGCGGCCAGTGCTGGGCCAGGGAGGTAGGTACTCCGGGTCACAGCCGAACGATTCGGTCTCCACCTGCTTTGTGGGGTACATCAGAAGCAGACTTGGTCTGTAGGCTTCCACGGAAATTTCATCAAGAATCTAAGGAGCGTGATAGAAGAAAACAGAATTCTGAGGTCTGAACATATCTTTATGAAAATAAGTCTGTTTCAGGGTAGATTTAATAAATCATACATAAAATGACAACTTGAAATAAAGATATACAATACAAGTAAACACCATTGGGAGTTTGGCTGGCTTTCTGAAGTGCGAGATATACACTTTTCCTTCATAACTGGGTTCAGAGTTTGCAGCAGGGATTATTTTGTCAAATAAATAAATAAGACTGGAGGGAGAGAGAGAAAAAAAACTCCTGAGAATCTGTCAGGGTGAATGGAAAAAGTGTGCGTGCCCAAAAGAGAAACAGGATACAGATATGGGGGAGAGTGAGCTGGAAGGGGAGGCTAAAGCCGTGAGAGAGGGAAACCCCCCCCCCCCCCCCCTTGAAATAATACGTTGCTTTCAGTGGTTTTACACGATGTGCTGTATTTAAGGGAGCCAAACGTACATATTAGTCTTCCTGGATCCATCTCTGCCCACTCAAGCCTATCGCGCATGAACAACATGATTCTCCATATCGCCAAACGGCCCAGGTCCTGCAATGGTTATAGCTGCCATACCATAGAGCGGGGAACTTAATCCCAAGAACTGGACAGGAGCGGCGGTTGTATGGATGAATACATGCATGGTGTGATCGCACGGCGCTTTAAGGAAAATCCGTTGCAGGAGGTTCAGCGCCGAGCCAGCCGCGAGACATCTGGCAGGAAACGCAGCCTGTTGCATGAAGGAGGGGCGTGTGCACCGTGAAAAGCGTGGTGTGTCACCAGCAAAGGAGAACCGTACGGGGTGGGGGTGAACCTGTCCCCCACCACCCCAACCACGGGCCTCATTCCCCAGAGTAACCCCGCTCAGTTGCGACGTCTACAGTTTATCAAATACTATAGATGTTTCCCGTGCCATGTTCATGTTTCATAACGATGGGGGGGGGGGGGGCTGTGTCTTTAAACCCCTAACCCCCATATGTAATTCATCATTCCTAGAACTGAGTGAGAGAGGCTGTCCCCCCCCTAAGCCTACAATCGCTGTAAATCACGGCGGAGTTTTTTTTCTTTTTTTTAACGAAAAAAATCCACAATTGAATTTTAAGTCGGTTCTCTTCTGTTACTTAACTGGGGGATAAATGATTTCACTCAGGCACTCGTTTACACGCAACGCGGGGAGCTCCTTCGGACAGAAAGGGATCCCAGTAAATTGTTACTCCATCCATTTAAGTTCAGTAATCACTTATGAAATCGATCCGGAGTCACATGGAGATAGATAGAGGCACACAAGGATATACACCAATCAGAAGTGGTCATAAATAGCGACACAACTTGGTGACCTTGACTATTTAGCTGTTTTAACATCAGTATGTAAAGCGTCGCAGTTTTCCGATGCAGTTTGACAATATAAGGTTAGATAGTGGGGCGATATTTCAGGATGTACTCGCCCGTATCACAGTCAGTCCCGTTTTCTAACTGGAAGGCACAGATACGAAACAGGGATTGGAATTACTGAGCGGCAACCAACCCCAACCCTTTTCGAGCATCAGGAAGGACACTTTCGTTCAGATATCACTGCTGGCCGGAACACAGTTTTTATTTTATAAAAATTTTATTTTTTTAATAAAGGTGTTCATCGAAAAACAAATAAGCCGCTCCCAGGGACCTGGCTATGGATCATTTGGTTCCCGCCAAGAAATATTAGTAATAGTATGGGAAGTTCGGTTCAATTTATAGAAATGAAATGAATGAAAATCACGTAAACAGGTTTTAGCGTTTAAAATATAAACAGTCAGCCTCCAAGAACCTGGTAAAATGTCGAGTACTTATAATCTAAAAAGCTTTCATTAATGGTTAAAAACCAACACCAAGGCCACAACATTCATCCATTTATCAATCCAATTTCTGTAACCACTTGCTTTATTCAGGGTCGTGGGGATCTGATCACAACAAACAGGATACAACAGAGCTGTTCACAGAGGCTGTTGAGATTGGCACATTGGCTAACAGGTTCTCTTAACTCTCATGCAGGTTATCAGCACAATCAGAACCAGTCTGTGAGTTTTGGATGTGTCAAGTTTTGTCGAGAAACCGCTTGAAACAAACTTGCCAAAATGCAGAACCAGTTAGTGAGTAATAGGCTAAAAATTAACATATAACTAAAAGCACGAGACGCAACCTAAACGGAAATGAAAACAACAAACTCAAAAACAGAAGTTAAAACGCGGTAACACTACCATAGTCAAGAGCAGAGGTAGAGACTTCAGGTCCAGAGAGTACAAATCCAGACCAAGATTTCGTTTCAAACAACCAGTTGAGTATAAAAAGTCACAGTCACAGAGTACTCAACTGCATGGTTGGTTGAAACAAAATCTTGGTCTGGATTTGTAGCCTATTCTCTGTACCTGAAATCTCCACCTCTGGTCAGGGGTTAATCAGCCACAGCCCATGGGGCCTGGCATGAACACACATATGGTTGCACATATATATATGCAATGTCATCACAAGCTCTGGCATCCTGCCCCCGCATTTACATGTATGCATGCATCAGTTTGCCACCTTATAAATAGTTTGTAGGGATTGCAAACTACCTATGCGCTTTCGATGCAGTTATTTTTAAGAATGTAATAGAATAGTATTGATTTCTTGCGTGAACTTGAGTGTCTGAAAGCGTGAATGTCACGACAGATGCGTGAGAGCTGGCGATCTTGGTATCGCTATTTTGCCTACAAATATAGAGATATGGTTTGTAGTGGTACGATATATTGACACATTTTGCCAAAAAGCCCTTTGTAATGTAAGACAGATCACTAACGTGGAACCTTAACATGCTGGAGAAAAAGACGCAACTCCTATCTGGCAGCACTGCGAGTCCTTAAAATTAATCCGTACCAGTCCATTTAAGGCTCGATCTGGATTTCTCACGAAACAAAGCACAAAGCAGGTCGGGACCTTGTAACTCGCTGGCAACTCTCGAATTTTTAATCATGCCTGCACTACTCTTCATAGGTGCTGCAAAAGTGGAAGAATACGATGCATGCATTTATCACTGACCTCTGTGGGGGGGCACAATCGTGTGATGCGTTTCCAGCAACTTCCCCACGATTTGCCGCACACTTAAAGGTGACAAAAACTGTGCATACCAAGAAATACCACAAAACAGCTATGTATATCAATTGCATATGTTTTGCAAAACTAAATTAAATCGCAGGCAAGCAAATAAGGAACCCAGGAAATAAATAGAATGGATCGAAGTGGTTTTGCACCAAGTATGCCAATTACAAGAAAAGCTAACACTCGAAACCAACGAACGGAAGTTTTTATGTAAAAAAAAAAGTTTGTCTAAAACTTCCTATCTTCTCAAATATCATATTACTTTCAGCTTCGGTTACCAGGCAGGACCTCTGCAATTTTCATGTTTTTTGTTTCTTACCATATTATCCACACAAATGTGAGATAAAAACAGGGTTAAAAACAGGGTTCATGTCGACTGACTGTTAGACTGTACCATCCCTACAACCTCCTACCGAAAAAAATCCGGTAAATCTGAATTACCAGCAATTATTCCTAGCTCCAGTTTATCCGAGCCTTTCAGAATTCATTTTGTATTTTGTATGTATTAGGCTCTGAAATAATCTCAAGACGTCAATACTTAACCTTCACGCTGTGTGTATTTTTGCATACAGTTATGCAACATAGTTCATAAATCTTAGTATGGAGAACAACCTTCCCATGGTATAAAAGCAGATCTGTGTCAGGGTGCGCGGTGCAGCGCCTGCCGCATCGCAGTGCCCCTGCAAGCGTGGCGGCATAAACCTCGCTGACATTGACCTCGGGCTACGGAAACTCATTTTGAACCAGCAGTGCAAGAGTGTACAAGAGCGTGCAGTGCGTGTAAATTGGGTCGGATGAGATTCTGCAAGCATACTTTCCTCCGCCAGCTTTCGAGCGAACCCCGTTCCGGCTAAAAAACGGCTGACGCACAGAGGGCCCGGGGTCACACAAAGAGGGATGAGGGACTAAGGCCATAGTTACGAAGCTGGGACATGGGAAATTCTGTACTGCTATTGGGCAGCGCTTTCTGCCCCCTGAACCGATACAACATCTGCTTTGTCCCTCGGCATCCTCCCAGAAGGTTATGATTCTGGTCCAGAGCTATGAAAACTTTTGCCAGAATCTCTCCCCCCCCCCCATCTCATTCCTTCAGCGGGTGATGTCATTCTGTATACGCTCCCAAAATACACTGCCCTCTTTGAAATATACTGCAGTACAAAACCACGGCGGAAATGTCGAAACTGTAGGCATACAATCAAGCGAAGGATCGGATATGACCCGTACGACGCCGCATTTAGTTCTTGGTAAAGGCACTTTTAAACCTTTAACCTCCTAATCGGCAGCAATGACACATGCGGTTCTCTGTAGTAAAAAAAAAAAAAAAAAGCAGAAAAGTAGGTAGGTATATACAAGTCGGGATATCAGTGTATCGTTCGTGTGCTAGTACGTTAAATTAAACAAGCAATTATTTCCCACTTTAGTTGTATTGTAAACAATCATGTAAAATTTCACTTAATATTTAACCAGGCAGATTTTTATTTAAATGAATCTTTATGAAGACTCGATTGAGATCTGCATCACTCGAGACCTGTGAATTTATACCTGCACTTGACCGTCTGAACCAGTCCGTCCACGCAGATCTTCAACGATCTACGGTGTCCTAGAGAAAAGTAAAACCCGCCCAGTATGAAGTCAAAAAAGGTTTAAAAAATTACATCTATCAACGAACCAAACAGTGTAATACATACTGTCGAAGCCTTAATAGGAAAGCAAATACAGGAGAAAAAAATCTCAGATCCCGTGAGATACAGAACGAAAATACGGATAATTTCCTGGCGTCTGCTGGTTTAATTAAACTCCATAACCCTTAAACGCACGGGTTCCCTATTTTTCTCAGCATAGGTCTTAAACCTGATGACTTAAATGATTGAAAACGTCATGCTTCTTACTCATTTACACAGCTGGAGTTTTACTGGGGCTGCCCTGCAAGGGCCGCTCCTGCTGAGCTCAGACCCGGAGGTCACCGGCTGCGGTGCGGCGGCCGATCAACCGCACGCCACGGCACGAATCAGCAAACCTGCCATATACATTACAAACACACCGACCAGCTCCTGCCTGCAAACTTATTTATTAAAATAATTAGCAATAATTCTTATTTAGGCCTTACAGTACAGCACATTCAGTACCCATTTGAGACCAGAAAAGCCTTTTAAAATATATGACAGACGTGTTAGCGGTAAGGATAAAATGTCAAGGTTGCTTAAAATTAATTGCACATGAAAATTATTTTTCCGAGCTATTTTACAATAGATCTGGGGTTTTTTCCTACCACACATGTGGCACTCTTAAAACACCTACGCGTGCTTTCGCAGTGCTTCGTGAAGCTTTTTTTTCAGTTTTCCATTCCCTAAAGCTCTTATCAAACCATCTAACCGCACCAAGAGGAAAACACGCATTTCAAGCGGAGGCCCACGTTGCCGAAGCGGAACGACGCCGCCGCCTCGGATGTTTGCAAAAATTATCTACAGCGCTAAATCTTCTGCGTTGCTTTGTTAGAGAATAATAACAGTTTTTTTTTTTTTCAATTTTATTCACTGCCTATAATTTACATTCAGAAAGATCCAGAACACATACTGCATATGTTGCATACACTCACCTAAAGGATTATTAGAAACACCTGTTCAATTTCTCATTAATGCAATTATCTAATCAACCAATCACATGGCAGTTGCTTCAATGCATTTAGGTGGTGTGGTCCTGGTCAAGACAATCTCCTGAACTCCAAACTGAATGTCAGAATGGGAAAGAAAGGTGATTTAAGCAATTTTGAGCGTGGCATGGTTGTTGGTGCCAGACGGGCCGGTCTGCGTATTTCACAATCTGCTCAGTTACTGGGATTTTCACGCACAACCATTTCTAGGGTTTACAAAGAATGGTTTGCAAAGGGAAAAACATCCAGTATGCGGCAGTCCTGTGGGC